CTTCGGTCATGTGGCCAGCAGGACTAAGCCACTTCTGGCGAACCCAGAGCAGCGCACGGAAACGCCGTTTACCTTCCCGCTGGAGTGGTCCTATTTATCTACTTGCACTGGTGTGCTTCGAAACTGCTAAGTTTGGCAGAGCAGGACCCGAGCAACCCAGGTAGCTCAACCCCTGTCGCGGATTCAAACCGCCGATCTGCGATCGCAAGCCCAAGGCTCTGTGTTGAGACCGACCACAGCCACCCGAATCCTTAAGATCTATCCTATACCAACCGCCCGCCCGGTTCGAATCTTCCGCCTTGGGTAAGGTCACTGAAGGAGCAGCTGCCAAAACAGTTATAGATTTTCCGGATGACACACGTTGAGGCATTAAGCATAGCGTTATAGACTAAAAGACCCCGGGAGCGTGACGTAGCAAGCCTAGAGTGCATTAAATAAGTACGTCGAGCGGTGTGAAGGATCAAAGGTAGTTCGAAACAGGAAAATTTGAAGTCAATTCTTTAGCAGCGCCAGTCGACCGAGGAAACCTAATACAAGACTAGATGACGTGCGGACGGAACAACGGTCCGAGACAGCAAGCGGACGTACCGTGATAAAGGGAAGGTAATATGGTGCTCACGGCAGAGCGCGGGCGCCGTGAACGACCCAGTCAAACCCGAAACATAGTGAATTTTTTTTCTGTTTTCTATTCGGTGTAAGAGGAAACCCAGCCCCGTGTATGGAACCCTGTGCACCCTGAATCCCCTACGTCCAGCAAAGGCGTTGGCCCCAAAAGTTTGTGAATCGAACCGGTCGAAAGGCTGCTGACCGATCTAAGAAGAATCACAGTCGCCAACCACCTCGGATACCAGCTGTCTACGGAAGATCATCTGTTAGGGCGACCAAAAGCCGTCTCGGTCCACGTACAGGGCGAAAGCCGGACTGAAATGGGTCCAAAACTGAGACTGAGTTCCATCCGGAAATCTCACCTAACTGTTTGCAGCTGCGCTCTCAGTTACCTACCCAGGTACGGAAGATTCGAAATCCGGGCCGGTAATGGATTAGATTCTAAGGGTAGTGGCGGGGTGGCGCTTGGTGGGTTTAAACCACAGAGCCTGGCTTGTATCCGAATACGGAAAGATCTGGCGGTATTGAAATCCCGCCGACAGGGTGAGCTCCTGCTTGCTCGGGTCCTGCCCTGCCAAACTAGGGCAGTTCGGAAGCCACACCAGTGCAAGTAGAATTAAATAGGTACCACGCCAGCGGGAAAGGTAAACCGCGTTTCCAGTGCGGCTGCTCTGGTTCGCCCAGAAGTGGCTTTAGTCCTTGGCTGGCCACGGCATACCCGGGAAGCTGTAGCCGGCTCCCTTGGCCAAGAAAGCCTGAGGTGAAGCGTGGAACCCCAGAGTTGGTCAGAACTGACCTAAATGGTCAGGGGTCCCATTTACCTTTAAAGGAATTAAGGATGCTTTCATTTAACGAGCGGACGCACCACTGCTTCCTGACTCCCGAGGATAACAGCTCTTGCCCCACCAGAAAGTGTCTTCCTGATGTTCAGCGGAATCCTTTCTTTGCGATTTGCATCCGTGGATTTCGGGTTTGCTCCGCTCCTCCACGCAGAAAGCTCTTTCGTAATACCATCTCTCCCCTCCTCTTGTCCGAAGGCGAAAATAAACCCAGCTCCTTCGTGACCCGTTCCTCAATAGGGCTTGGTGTTCCAGACCCTTTTATCAATCTCGGTCGAAAACCTTCCAGCTTGGTCAGATCTCCTTCTTAAACTGGGGTGCCCAGAATTAAGACACCAGTGGATTCCAGGTGCGCGTTTGTCCAAGCCCTAAATTTGCACAGAAGAAACGGCCATCTTGACTTGGCTGTTGCGTAAGTTATGTAAATATCGCGGTCGTGGGTAGACTGGTCCCAACCGCAAGAGCGCGTGAGACTTCCGTGCCTCTTTTGAATTTACCTTTTCTTTCTTCACAATGAGATAAGTAATGATTACTAATCGCTTCTCCCTCCTCATAACATCCTTATCAGTCAACAATAGGAGGCAGCGAAAGAGAACATTGCTTTCCTCAAGGCCTCTCCTCGAAACACAAGTAGGCCGGTTAAGCTCCAACTTTCACAAGAACATGTAGGCGCTATGCAAGGCGCAACCACCTGGGGGTCCATACCAGCTGACCCCAATGCAATGCGGGGAGAACAATGAAGGAATATAACATGAAGGAAAGGTCTATCTTGCTTTTTTGAACTCTTACAATGCAAGAGGGATTCCCCAAGGAAAATAAAGACAGAGATCAAGCGAAGCCCCCTTGACATAAACCTCGGCTCCATCGCGCACGTAATATAGAATACATACCCTGCCACAAATGAGGCCACGAAGACTTTAAGATGGCTATTGAAGAGAGTGACCACTGGAACTAAATTCTATGGAGAGGGAGAGGGGCATAATACGACGGCTACAAGCCAGGTTGCGTCTGAATGCCAGTTGGCTGGAAAAAGCGGCAGGCGGGAGAAGCCGTATCTCAGTGTCGAATATGCGATGAATCAAAGGCAGTCTGATTGAGCCACCTGGGAGAATGAGGATGAGTTCTTGCTTTTACATAATATCAGTGTATATTAAACAGAATTTATGTACGAAATATAGATTAAAATCAGTTGTTTTTCTCCGCTGGGGGAAACGCATACCCCTAAAGCAGTTGTGAATCTACAGTAATATGGCCCTTCAATTGAGGCGTGCCGTTTTTTCACGGGGATATACGCTCGTTTATTTGATCACTCCTGTTGTACAAAAAATTCCCAAATGGGTCCGAAGTCCAAATGTCTAAAAACTCCTGGTTATGAGGACAAGGATCTAGAGAATCACGCGTTGAAAGGAGATGGCCAAACTGCCGACTGCCATAAAACTAGGGAGACAAAGCAGGTCAAGATACTAAAACTAAAAAACATAAAGGTTTAATAGGACTATATTTAGAGGTATAATTTTTAGGATCAGATATGAATATATAACTGCCATCTATACTGAATTGTCTTATACCGCAAGCAATCATGAGTATTCCTGTTGTTGTTTTATGATTTACTTGATATGTAAGTGAAGCCGGAACTGGCTAGTAGACCGTAATAATAAAATTTCTATTCTATTCACTTGAGGTGGGGCAGTTATCTCTCAATATGAGCAGACAATAAAATGAAGTCCCTCCTAAACATTTTTTATAAAAAAAGGGGGTGGCAGCAACTGGTTTTAATTCTATCAATGATTTAATTGTCTTTCATGACATGATTTACCCCCATATTTTTACCTGTTCTTGTTTGTTGTCTGTAAGCCGCCCTCCGCCAGAGGGGGAAATTCAGGGTTAATAAATAGAAATATATAATAACGATTAAAGTAGGCAGTAAATAACTGGCCTAAAGCGTCCACGCAGCATCCCTAACGGGATACCATTTAAGAACCCTCTTCCTGCGATTTCAGAAATCGGCGTTCAAGAAAAAGCGTTGCTTTCCTCCGACTGGTGTGAGGCAGAGGAAGAGCATTCTGGCTACGTAGCCACGCAACTGGCCCTCTCTTCCTCTGCGAATTTGCCCAAATCTCTTTGAAAGCCCAACTCAGGTCGGCATTACCTGAGGCAGGGAGTTCCACATTCAATACCCTGCGCCGCCACCAAATAATAATAATAATAATTTTTTAATATTTATACCCGACCCATCTGGCTGCAGTTTCCCCATGCCACATCGGGCGGCTCCCAATCAGTGTTAAAAACAGACAGCATTACATAGTATAAAAACTTCCCGGGAACAGGGCTGCCTTAAGATGTTTTCCTGACATGTCAGTACATTATTTATCTCTTTGACATCTGATGAGAGAGGTGTTCCACAGGCGGGGCCACGACCGAGAAGGCCCTCTGTCTGGTTCCCGTAGCCAGAAAAGGGCAGAAGAGCGAAAAGGGAAGGTGATTTACAATGAAGCTTTGAAAAAATACAATATTTCTAATTTTTTAATATTAATTCTTTATTAGTTTTTTTTAACATTATAATCATGTCCAACAATCATAATAACATTAAACTTTCTTAGACAATGTTTTAGTTTTCCGTCAAAACAACCTCTGATGATTTTTCGTTCTTTATCGCTTGTTCTGCATTTCTTAACTTTCTCTATCGCTCTAATTATATGTAACTATAATTCTCCTCTAGTCTTTTCTTGCAATTATATCTTGGCAAATAACTTCTCTATTACTTGTAAATATCATTCACTAAATAATTCTCCTCATGAGTCTTTCTTTGCAATATTTCAGATAGCCCTCCATTACAAACTCCTGCAGTCCGCTACTAGGTATAGCGTGTGTTACTCAATCACCAATTCTTTCCCACAAATGGGAGTAAAAT